AAGTTGATTGCCACGAACGTCATATTTCCTGGATTCAAATTGGCTCAGAATCATTATGACGTTTTTGTGTCAGATGTATTTTTGTTTAATCACAAAAATCCTGAAAAGGGTCTAGTGAACTTTTTGTAAACTCTCTATTTTGTGGCCCGGTTTTATTTAGAATGGAAGTAGTATAAAGACGCATAGCTACGCGGCATACAAGGCCGCATCGCCGTGCGGCTGTCAAAAGCTGTCTTAACTTGTTGGCTGTCAAAAACCGCAATATTTTGTGGCTCTTTGTGACAACCACCTTACAATTTAATTAATGGTAGTGCCAATAGAAATTTTTTCAGACAAATGTCTGTCCTTTTTTAAAAGAAAGCCTGAGATTAACACAAAAGGAAAAAGTTTAGGTATTGGTTATTCCAGTCGTTATCTAGTCGCTTTGCTTTAAACAGTTTTGCGCGAATATTTATAATGTGGACCAAATAATTCTTATACTGAGAGGTTCCCAAATCAGCCCCCTGCCTGCATGTTCCGCGATTTTTTGTATTTTCCGAGTTAGGTATTCAATTTTAAAAGTTGTACGGTAATTACTGGCAGGTTTTTTATGTGTGTGATTTAAGTAAAAATTATTAAGATGATGCTACACCAACAACCGCTAGGAGACTGCTATAACTGAACAAAAAAAAATATCCTGCCAGTTCCAATTTTCCCAAACAACTTTAAATTTTTAATAACTTGGAAACTACTTTTGAAAATTTGCGGAACATGGTGATGATTCAGAAAATAAATGTCAGTGTAAGGTTTTTTTATCTTTTGATGTGAGTGTCTAGTCCACCCTGTATATTTTCACAGGTTAGAGATTTTATTTGGAAATGAAATCAAAATGGACGGTATTTTCTTTTTCGACACTGTATTGTAACAAACTGGACTGTTAATAGTACGTTTACCCTACATGAACGTCCGTGTTGACCTCACACCTCGATAAGATTGAACCAATAGACATAAGAAACAAATAGAAAAGAAGATAGCAAATAAACGTGATTTTATTAGAGCCACTGAACTACCCTCTTAATAAAAATGTCGTTACAAGTTTTATATGGAGCATTTAATGACGAAATCGTAAAAAGAAACGATATCAAATGAATGTGTTGGATGATTGAGGAGTAGCTTTCAAAGATACTTTTATTATGATTGGCTGATAGACTGACAGACTCAAATAGTATTGAATGAGACACTGAGACAACAAACGACCCGATGAACCCTGTTGTCGAAGTTTTAAATTGCGGTTTAAACAATAATTAGTAGCTATGCATTTCCGTCGTTGTTTTAAAACAATCGCTACTTAAATAGTCACTAGCTGGAGGACCGAGCTCACTCAGTATTTTATGTTGTTCGTAAGAAAACGACACAACAAACAAAAAACAATGAAAAATGGTACCTATCTAGATCGATTTATTGCGTCTGAAAACGACACTTATGAAATTTCGTAAAAATCTTTGGAGTTGTTTCCAAGCTTTGGATAATACCTAAATAAACCAAAAACTGAGCATCACAAATATTTTTTCAAAAAAACTTTATGTGACATGATGAAGGCACACGTAAATATGTCGCAAATCTACTTATGGTTTAAAGATTGTGTGTATTTTTCCACGATAAAATCAAATGTGATTGTTGCAGTAGTAGCTCCATCTATTCTCATAAATTGGCGAATCTGTTTTTTTACAGGCAAATATTTTTTACTATTTAATCAGTTTTAAATGGATAATTAAACATTTATTTACCTTAAGATGCAAGAATTGCTCTTTTTAAAGATATGATAAAGAAAGATATGTAGAGTATGTAGGCATGAATATAACTTTATTCAGCATCGATATAATTTCAACCACATTTTCAAATTGCGATTAAAAATACGCTGGATGTGCGCTCGCCTTAAAAATGCCTTTCGTCATGGTAGATATCATTTGTTATGTAGAGCAACTTAATTATACCTGTCTCAAGTTTAACATTCGCAAGGCTTCAGGTTTCTAGGAAGACGAGCAAGTTTAAGTAATCAAATGAAGTCCCCGGTGGTCGGAGTGACTTAAACGTTAAGTAATTAGTTTATCTGTGAAGAACTAGCTAGGTGATTATTTCAATGGTGATGTAACATTCTTGTAGGAGCTGAGGAAGTAATTTTAAGATATCTTGTAAGATAAGAGCCAGCGATACAAGCGCATAAAAGTCCCGTAATTTATGAGATTTCGTATGAAATATGATTTTATGCTCCATCTCTTTTTACTACTTTGTTGGACGCAGGATGCTCGGAACATCATTATGAGGCAGAGTCCGGAACGAGGTCATTAGGCAGCGTACTCGTGTAGTGGATATCGGACTCCGAGTTCATCGTCATCTCTGCCCTTATCCCAATTACTTGGGGTCGGCGCAACACGTTTCGTTGAACACAAAATCGTGTTGCAAAAGTCTGTTGTGTTGGTTAAATTTTACGACCGGCCGCCTACCGGACGTCAATCCTCCTTGGGAATGCTTTTGTGGTGGATTAACCGCCATCATACGGTTGACCCTGGCTATTTGGGTAGGGTTCATCTCTCGGTCACCTCTTACGACCCCCACGGAAAGAGAGGGGGTGGTGCTATTCTACTCTGCCGGCACCACACGCCACCTGCCAGCACCACACAGCACCGAGTTGCCGAGCCGAAATGGTTAGAGGCTGGACATACGTCCGAAAACATACTTACGTGTCGACGAAAAGACCGATGGAGCAGATGCATTCTGGACTGGATACCTCGTCTTGGGAAGCGCAGCGTAGGCAGTACACCAGCCAGATAGACCAACAAAATCAAGGATCGCGCCGAGACATTGTGGATGTAGAAATCGGAACTCCGAAAAGATTGGAGAAGATTTGGAAAGGCATATGCCCAACAGTGGGCTAAGCCATGCTGACGAAGAAGAAGTTGGAGACATGCTGTAGGCTGAAGACTAGTGCAGGTAATAAAATATTGGTTTTTCATACAAGTAATAGAAATAACCAGTATGGGTTGATACTTTAAATGAGTACTCTGATGTTAAATTGTCGTTCTAAGTTGGGGAAACAATACTGAAAGTGTGTCAAGCTTGCAACTTAATTAGTCAAAATAACTCAAAGAAAAGGAAATTTCCAGCTATGGTTAATTTTTATGACACAACAATTCAACAAATCTACTATCTACAAGTTGAAAACAAAACTTGTGTGATTAGGACCAAAATTTTGATTTTTGGATAATTTTGATTTCGATCAAAATATTTTTTATGCTTTTCAAGATTCAAGATGTTCTTTCCAAGTAAGATTCACAAAGTATACTTTTAGAATATCCAATACATACATGCATACTCGTAAGAAACATACATCATACAGAACATCCCGATTTGGTAATTAAAGTAAGCCTCTAAGTCGTTAATGTACCTTCTAACTTATGATAACTCATTTTTCCACCGTAAGCAGGATTTGAACCTTTGACCATCGGCATCTGTTCTGGGCTACCGTGGTTCAATCCCAGCCTGCGAATAAAGCAAGTATGTCTTTCCCAAGTAAGTATAATAAGTCTCTTATCACAGTATTCTGCAACGTATTTTTCCACTACACTTTGTTTTATATTCTAAGTAGCACCCGTACACTCGCGGGGTTTGACGACCTATACAAACGCCATTAGGGTAGTGGGTGTGACACCGATTATGACCATTAAAAGATATTAGAGAATGCTATCAAGATATTCATGGTCCACATAGAATCCATTAGGGCGAAGGGTGTGGATGCACCTTTATGTATTCAGCGAAGTCCTTGGACAGTGTGAGCGAGTATTTACCCGACTATCTTAGAAGGAGGGTTATGTTTTTCGAGATGTGGACAAGATTATTACTTTTTCACCTAAAAAACCTGGGCGTACTTTGTCGTAAATGATGATATATGAGGTGTCGCTACATGGATCTCAGCAGCACGAGTGACACTGGCTACTGAATTTCATAAATTCTAAATTATGATTTTTAAACTCCAAATACTAGGTACTTTGAAACTACCGCAGTTGTTCTTTAATTATTGTGTTTGTTGTATTTTTGATGAACTGTTGTGTCAAGTCTTATAAAATCTTAAAATCAGCAATACAACAATACACCCAAGTCAAGTTTGGCAAGCAGGATTTTAGGCGAGTCGTAAGATAAGAGACAAAGACGTGAGACGCGCGACATCGCGACGCTTGTAACGCGAGTTTTCTTATATAATGTATGAAACAGAAGAGACGCCGTCTGTCTGTCTGACAGATGTCTTCTCACTTCTCGCGTCGCATTGCTATAAATTGAGGGGTTATAATCTGTGCAGATCGCAGATAGCCCCATAATTCGTAGCCCCTTAATTTTCTAGTTTCACATATTTTTGATCGTAGTAGTTTAAAAACTTTATAATTATTTCTTTACTATGTTTAAGTAAGAACGTTATATTCAAATCACTTTACACTATTACGCAGATGGATTACGTTAATCCATCACAGTGTTCTTTGTATACAGGTACGCAAACAATGTTTAATCTTAAATAATGGTAGGCTTATAAACCAAGCGTCGCGACAACGACGCGCGTCAAAGACGCCGTCAAATATTGACGGCGTCGCGTCGTTGTCGCGGCGGTCTTGTAGAAGAACCCGACCGCATCCCATACAAACCCTGAGCTTCTCAGCGCGCTGTAAACGTGACGGCGACGCGGCGGCGTCGTTGACGCTGACGCCCGGTCTTTCTGGTATCCCCATACAAACCAGTCATTTGACAGCGACAACAACGCCGCCGCGACGCCGCGACGCTTGGAAAATAAGGGTACCATAAAGCTTGCTATAAAATATTTAATCTACGGTCTCATTTTTCAGGCTTGTATAAATAAATTATAACATATTTTGTGATAAAAAATTCGGATGAATATTTCAAATTTTTGAAGAAGCTCCGAGAGGGTAATATAGTAAAACAATTGATATTAACTTTTTGCTTACAACTGGGTTAGAGCCACCGTAGTGTAGCGGTCAATCACGTCTATCCCGGCTTGTCAAAAGACGTGGGATCGAATCCCATCAGTGGCGTAAATTTTTTCCACTTGCTTCGTTTGTATTAACTTTGTAACCAAAAAGTTCAGTTTTGTTAGTAGACCATGCTAAATATTTGTACTTAATTAAAAGTACGAGAGATGCCGAGTTGCCGTGTGATGCCGGCCTAGAATAGCATCACCACAATTCTACCCGTGGGTGTCGTAAAAAGCGACTAAGGGATAATTATCCACGGAATGGGCAGCAGCGTTCCCTGTGAATTAAACATCTTGCACTGCGCTCGCCAATCCGCCTGCCAAGCGTGGTGAGTATGGCAATACCCCCCGATACGGGGGAGGCCCATGTCCAGCAGTGGACTGTTGTGGCTGTAAAGGTAAGGTAAGGTAAAAGTACGATTAACATTATATAATTTGGCATGTCGTCAGTGTTTCAGTAATAAAATATTATCTAAAATAAATACATTTTCTATTGCTATATTCGGTAAGCGGATTGAAAGTCCTCAGGTAACAAAAATGTCTGTGAAATATTGCTTCGGCATTGGGGAAGAAGAATTTTTATCAAATAACAAAGCTTTCCTTGGAATTCACTCATCCTTCACAATTGAATGAGTTTACTATAATGATGAAAGACGAATAATATTCTTTCCTTGTATTGAAATAAGAGGAGGAATAAAACCAATAATAATAATATACAATATTGATTGGCGACATACGACATATCTTAGATTTTATCTTAACAATTGTAAATACTGTCAAATTCTGTTTGCCTTTGTTATCCAATATATTATCAGCAAGACAAAAAACTTTTCAATAGGCTTGCTGAACAGAGGATCGCTAGGTACTCGTCATGACGAGTTTATTGTAGCCATGTTACGCTTTCAAGTCGATATTATGGCCATCAATGAGACATGGTTGGCGACAGGAGAAGAGGCCCGCGCTCCAGTAGTGCCTGGTTATCGTTTACGCCATAGACCAAGACCCGCAGAAGTTCCGCGTGACGGGGTGGTGGGGTAGGCTTTATTTAAAAACCGGCATAAACGCGCGGGTGTTAGCTCATCCTCCAGCACCTACAGTGGAACAAATGTGGTTAAGCTTGAATATAAACGGCTCGAAATTTGCGATTGGTACTGCGTATCGACCGCCTTGGCTTAACGTTGAGACCTTCATTGATGCTTTAACAGAATCTGTTTCGTCTTTTTCAATTTATGATCATATAATTTTAGTGGGAGATTTTAATATAAATTTATTACATCCCCACGAGAGCAGTACTAAGAAACTTGTTGATTTCCTGAATTATATGAGTCTATCCCAGTATGTAGATAAACCAACACATTTTACTGATCATAGTGAAACTTTAATAGATGTTCTTTGTTCTAGTACGCAATTGCTTGATGTTCGCGTTAATTATATTCCGGATTTAAGTAGACATGCCTTTTTAACTTGCAAGTTACACATAAAGAAGGAAAAGCCTCCACCTAAATGGATTCTCTACAGGCCCTTAAAACAAATTGAGCTAGAAAAATTTAATGCTGATATAGAGTCCATAGAATGGAATAAAGTCCTTTTCTATAATAATGTCAATGATATGGTAACTATGTTTAATGCACAAATATTAATTTTGTATGACGTACATGCACCATGGAAAACTATATATATAAAAGAAAAATCATACCCCTGGATTACTTATAACATAAGACAAATGATGCAGTTACGTGACGAGGCTCATGATAAATACCGTATTTCAAAACTTGATTCACACAAATATTACTATAAAGATTTAAAGAGTATAGTAAATACAGCTTTTTATACAGAAAAATGTGCTTATTTCACAAAACATATTAATAATTGTCAAAATCCTCGTACTTTGTGGAAAAACATTAAACACAACGTTGTTACCTTTAAAGATGTAAAATCAGAACTACCTTCTCATTTAATGGACCCTAATCGTATAAACGCACACTTCCTCAACATTCCTGGTAACGCAAATGACGTAAACTTATCTGATTTAACTTATTTTGAATTTCATAGGCATAGTTCTGCGATATTTCATTTTAGTCCAGTGAGTGAAACAACTGTACTTAATATAATTAAATCAATAACAACAAATGCTCTCGGTACTGATGACATTTCATCTGAAATGATTCTATTAACACTTCCACATACAATCGAAGTAATCACAGCAATAATCAATAAGTCTTTAGAAACTTGTGTTTTCCCGGACGCGTGGAAAACTGCGATAGTTAGACCATTACCTAAAACTAACCAACCTAATGATTTTAAAGATTTACGCCCTATTAGTATATTGCCCTTCCTGTCGAAAATAATAGAAAAAGTATTGTGCCAACAGGTTTCCGATTATCTGGAAAAAAATCACATTCTTCCTACCAAGCAGTCAGGATTCAGAAAACGCCATAGTACTTCAACCGCACTGTTAGATGTCGTTGATGATATTCTTGCAGCCCAAGATGTAGGAGAAGGTAGTATACTTGCGCTGCTTGACTTTTCGCGAGCTTTTGATACCATAAACACCACGCTTTTGTTGTCAAAGCTTTCATATTATGGTTTTGACAGTAGGAGCGTGCAATGGTTTAGTAGTTATTTAAGCGGGCGGTCACAGGTCGTTTCAGTAGATAATAGTGATGGATCAAGAATGTTCTCATCTAAATTGCCAGTTTTAAATGGAGTCCCTCAGGGTTCTATACTCGGACCAATACTTTTTATTTTGTATATAGCTGACATGGTTAAAAATATTCAAAATTGTAAATATCACCTTTATGCCGACGACGTTCAGTTATACATTTCTTTTAAGCCCAACAATACATATACAGCCACAGATAAATTAAACCAGGATTTAAACCGTATAGCTCATTGGTCTGAACGTAATAGTCTAGTACTTAACCCACTAAAATCTAAATACATCGTCCTTGGCAGCAAAAATCAAATAGACAAAATAATAAATTTCTCGCCTCAAATATATATTAATAATGAGTCAATTGAACGTGTTTCGGAAGCCCGAAATCTAGGAGTACTAATGGATGGGCAACTTCATTTTGAAAAACACGTACTACAAATAGTCCGCAACTGTTTTTACAGATTAAAAGTTTTATATAGGGTCAGGAATTATTTAAGTATTGATTTACGGGTTAAACTGAGTGATTCTCTCATACTCTCTAAACTCAACTATGCTGACACGGTATTCGGGGAATGTCTACTGGCGCGCACCAAAAGACTAATACAGCGAATGCAAAATGCTTGCGCACGATTTTGCTTCCCCATACCACGCCGGACGCATATTACACCTTATCTGAATAAGAATGGTCTGATGAACATGGCCGCACGAAGACACCTACATTTTTCTACTTTACTTTTTGGTATAATTATAAACAAACAGCCACAATATCTCTATGATAAACTTTTGTTTTCTAACCGACACGTTAGATCCGCAATACGTTTGATTTGCCCCAGACACCGTACAACCACATTTCGTGGCAGCTTTCGTTATGCTGCCACGAAATGTTGGAATAATCTCCCGCCACCAATTAGGAATTCCGTGTCGGTTAGTACCTTTAGAACTAAATTAAAATTACATTTACTTGATGTTCAACTGGTTGTTCCACAAGCGGTTGCACTGGGACAAACTATAACTATGTACCTCTAGGTGTGTTTTTCTGTTTACTAGGATGTATAAAATGAGCCACAAAAATGTCTGTTTATCAAAATGTAAGCATTTATCCTTCTATAATATACCTATTCTATGTAAAATATAATAAAAGTCTCAAATATTTATATCTAATGTTGTTGTATAGTTTTAAGATACTTATATTACCCATACATTTAGGAATAATTTAAGTATGTGTTTTCCGTCCACTGTTGCCCTAAGATGGTCTCACAGAATACCAGCGCTGTAGATAGCTACTGCTATCTGCCGCACATGCTGAGTGAGGTCCATTTTCGGCACATATGCGCAATAACATGTAGTTATTTTAAGTAGTTTTTAAATGTAACTGTTGATTGTTCAATGTTTGATTGTTGTTGTGCTGTGACCGAAATAAATTTATTTTCTTTCTTTCTTTCTTTCTTTCTTTCTTTTTTTACTACTCAAAAATTACAAATGATTTATTTGAACGGTTCTCAAAATATCTAGTAGACGTAGCGATAGCACAAAATAGAGTATGAGTATACAGAAGGTTTACTCGACTCAATTTAGAATTTTCGCAACTGTCAATTGTTAAAAGCCAGGGTTGCGACTGTCAAAACTCTCGAAGTACCTACCTATTTATGAATATCAAAACAGCAAGATATGATACAAGAACGTCATATCTTTCTGAGACAATTTTAATCCAAGAAATATGACGTTTGTGGCAGGCATCCGTCTTCTTAGTTACCTTGAATTCCACTGAGATTTCAGTAATTCCAGTTGAAGTCAGTTTAAGTGTCAAAATCGTCGCTAGTACTGAGTGAGCCATCTACCGGGAGTAACAGAAAGGGTATAACAAGCCGAAAGGAGGTCAAGGTACTCATGAAACTGAACAACTTTCCCTATGGAAAATGGGTCGAAATATGAAAAAAATATTTGGATCTCCCATAGTAAATCAATCACCTGATCGACAATTTTGTATGGGAGGTCTAAATTTTTTGCATATTTTGACCCATGTTCCATAGGGAAAGTTGTTCAGTTTCATGAGTAGCTTGACCTACTTTCTTACTCCCGGTATAAAGGCGCCCCGCGCACCCTTTCCGTAATTTGTGGCGATAGCGCCCGTATTTTTACCCCACAAGGGATAAAAGTGTGATTTGTGTATGTATGTAGACCATAACTGAGTAGTTTAATTTCATGTATTGTAAGGCTTACATGTTTGGCTTTGAATGTTAATGTAAGTTTGAAATTAATAAATGATAAATAAATCTATTGGACAGCCCGAGTCTCAGAATCTGGAAGTCCATTTTCCACGGAAACACGCGTACTTACATTCTCATGGGACGATCCCAAGGCATACAAGTGAGTTAGCAAGTTGAATTTAATATGTACAACTAATT